TAGTGCAGGTGAGCCGCCCTTTGATGCAACCAGCAAAGGTCATAGGCATAACTTCTCTGTCTGTTTAGTGGCAGAGGGCGAAAAGATGGGAGGCATAAATTGATGGGAGGCTGTAGAAATTGGGACAGTGGGATCTTTTGAATGCCTTTGACTGGATTTGTGTTGTATCATTGGTGTGACCCAGTGGGGGTTAATGGAGACAATGGTCCCACTCGGTGCGTATTGCAGCTCAGTTGCATGTTATGTCATGTCCGCACCTATAGGGGGCTGTATGGTGTTGGTAAGCCGGCCCCATCCTGTCAGGCCTGCGCTTTGGGTGTTGTCCTTTAAACTCCAGCATGCTAGTGCTGACAGGGGCTGCTTGTCACGTGGAACCTCTGTCTGTCCTTGTATCTCGGCAGATTCCCCCCCACCTCCCCCACACCTTGTCTGTGAAAGACTGTATGATGTGTATAACGTGCTGGGCCGAAGCCTGCATGTACGAAGCTTTGTAAGGGTGAGTTCTATCTCTTATAGGATTAGACTTGGGTTGGCGTTCATGGGAGTGTATGGAGTTTGAGTTTTGGCATAGAGTTAATGGTGCATGCTGGGAGTATTTTCAGGATGGGGTTCAGTTATTCCTGAAATCAGGGTGGGATCATCATGTTCTGGCAGTAACCTTTGAGTTTAAACTAGTACTGTTGGTTATTAACATGGAGTGATTATCTCCCTAATGTGAATTATGAACCATCAGTCGTGTGGTTTATTGCATTATGCTGGGATCTGGGGTTATTCCAAGGTCTTCTAAGGTGGGGGATCATAAGATATTTTAATTTTATGCACAGGGGCTAGCCTTATTAGCCAATGATATGTTTTCAATTGGTGTGGGCCAATGAGATTTCAGCCGGGGCTCCCTGGCTGGGATTATGTTTCCGTCATGGCTTGTTGCAGTATACCGGCATTAGGCTGAAGGTGTGTCCATTACAATGTCGTGTATAATGGAGGAAACGGCGTGGACTGTGTGGGTCCCTGAGGACTGCATTGGGAAACACTGCCCTAGGTTGGCGATCATGGGGGGCCTTAACATTAAGGTGCCGGCATGCATTCCAAGAGGGGAGAACTGGAAATGAGAAGCCCGACTGCAGGCACGAGCCGTCAGTCACACGGTGAGCACCTGTTGGCTTGGATGCTAATGTGGTGGACTGAGCTGACAGTGTAGCCATCACTGCCCTCATTGGTCTATAATCAGTCCCAGAACCCTCTCTTACCCCCTCACTTGTTATGCTGTCCGGTTAAAGCTGATCTCATAACAGTGGGCCCACGAAATGGCCTTTGACGTGAGAGACGTCCTGCTTATCTATCCTGTTTTTCAGCCGACGATACTGTGGCCTGTGTTTTTATAACTGAGCCGAATGGGTGAAGTGGGTTAGAGTGGACCGTCACGTGGGGAGTTTGGTGTAGCAAACTGGCCCCTCTTATTACAGTCTCCCGTCTGGTGGATGAGGAAGGATTAGGCTCTTAGGGCTACAACAGTTATGACTGTTGTCCAGGGATGGAAGAAGTAGCATGATGTTACCGTTGTGCTGCTATGATGTGCAAAGATATGTGACTAGGTAAACACTGGGCTGGAGCTGGAAGAGGCCAGGCCTTACTGGTGATGCAGTAAATCAGGCTGATCTGTACACCCTTACCCTGGGCCTCATGGAGGGTAGTGGTCACTCTTAGTATCTTAGTGTTTTTGACCATCTTGATTGTTGATGACTCCTGTCCCCTCCATCACACTGAATCTTGGGTTGGACCACTGAGGATGAGGGGTGGGGGGACGGGCGTGGGCGTAGTGAATGGTCACCTTAATGAACAGCCCACTTTGTCACACCTCTGTGTAACAGGGTGGTGGAGCCTTGATGGTGGTCTGGTAACATTTACCAGTTACTGTACAGGGATGAGAAACCATTTTCAGAGGCGGAGTCCCATGTTAATCTGCTGTTTCTCCTGCGTGTTAATATGCGTGCTGGAATTTGTGTTCTGTAATGCTGGGACCAATGTTTTAAAGCGCAGCAATGATGTCTAGTCACTATTGTAAGAATTAGTTCCTTTTGAAAGAGAAACTAGTTTGGCTCAAGATATTAGAAAGGTCAAGTACTGTATAGACCCTTCCAAATTCATTGCTGTTACTTAAAAATTGATCAAACAAAAGGGAGTTTAAATGTAATGCTTGTTCTTCTATGTATAGCCATAGATAAGCTCCATAGTCTATAATTAAATGCTGCAACTACAGTTACATTTTGCGACCGATCTTTAATTTCTGAATTTATCCAGAGAATTGAGCTATATTTGAATAGTTGAATGTTATTCTTACTGAGTGTAGAATATTCTATTCTATTCACTTCCACCATTTAGAACTTATAATTGAACTAATACATTCTGAAAATGTAAATTACTTATGTATAGGCTACATGTAATACTATGGAGATTCTAGCAATTTGGGGATATTTAGTCATTTTCACCAGGGGTCCTACTCTCATTTTATTTTACTTTGTTTTGGCTCCCTTGCCCTGCAGTGGTCACTGGCCTTCTAGAAAAATCTCTGCATTCGTGGCTACAGAGCACATTGTGTGTGTATGTGGTCTGTTTTGTCACTGGGGTCAGGTCACTTTCAGCCAGCTGACTTAATGAAGTTGAAGTCCTGTTTGTTTCAGTACCCAAATGTTTTACATAAAAATATATAAATAAAACCCCTTTTTTGGGTCAGCTGTCTTTAGAAGCCCCTTGTTCTGGGGGGTATGGAGTTTAAGCCGCTGAGTTTGTGTGATGTTTTTAACCTTTCGTGCTGGCTGTCATTTGGACTGCCAGCCTCATTTCCAATTTGCCTGCTGGCCAATGAGATCCGCAGCTCTCCTCTGCATAAAGGTCAATGGGCTGAACCATCCTGTCATTTCAGACTCTGCATTACATTCTGAGAATCCCTCCTTCTGTTCCATCTCCTGCCTTGCAGATTCTCATTGTTTTCTGCCATGACCATTTTACCTGGCTCTCGTGTTCTGAGGGTGTGGTGGCATCCGTTCGGCAGGGGAAGACCCCGTCCCTCCATTAATTAAAATCATACTTCATTAAAACTCCATGTCATGCTATTGGTTTTACTTTGACAGTGATTCCTAGGCCCCCCTTTGCATGACCTTTTATAGACGCAGCCTGAGGCACATGTGGAGCAGCAGAACAGCAGGTGATGGGCATCCTCCTGCCCTTCCCGGCCCCTCTTCCAGGGGAAAGGCAGAGGAAGGAGCCGCATACCTGCACAGAATAATCTTAAAGGGCTAAAATACCTTCCCCCGCCCTGTTTCACAGCAGGCCAAAGCCCATGGCCTGATTAGCCTGGCCTAGAAACAGCCACATGTGCTAGACCTACGTGTCATGTGACCTCCCCCCCTCCCTTTCTATCTATTTATTTTATTTATTTATTTTCCTCTGTCAGTGCATTATTGTCATGAAGAGGATTACAGTCACCACTAAAGCAAAACATAACATGTCACAAATGCATAAATGGAGTGGCTAATTAGCACAGACCTTCGAGATGAAAAACAAAATGCTGAATAAGAAGTGATTAGTATAAACACACACACACACACTAAATGCCTCTCTCCCTTTCTCCCTGTGTAGTGAAGAGGGCCATGTTGTAAAGTGGTTCTGCTTTCTATACTCCTTGTACTCGGTCAGATCTATTAGACGTGTACTATAGCTGTATCTGGTAGTCCACTGCACCACTGCATGACCGTGATAGCCTGACTTTCTGTAACTTTCTCTCTGGGTTCTCTGATGGGGTTTCTGTGCATCTTGGCCATTGCTGTCACTTCCGTCGTCTCGTCGGTCACAGACAGAGACGGTGTAGGTTGTAGCTTTATGTATATCTGTTCGACAGTGATAAACGAAGGGGCGATTCAGAGCTGATGTGGGATGTTAGGATGGGTTGGAGGGAATTGGGGGGGGGGGCTGGGACACTGATGGATTGTTCCATTGCACAGTGTGATGCTCAGCAAAATTCTTGTGCCGTGTGGAACTGCACAGCCTCTGTGGTGGACCTCCTTGGAGGAAACCCCTAACCCTAACCCTAACCTCCTGCCTTCTGAAGGAAAGGTCTCGGCCGCTTGGCCAGTCTGCCAAGGTCTAGCTTGGCCCCGGGAACGGCCCGGCGGGCAGGCTGAGGTGCGGCCGTCTGTAGTCGCGCAGCGGTCAGCGGGGCGGGGCGTCCTGGCCATCGGCTTCGTGACTTACAGGATATGACACGGTGGCACCTCTACTGCAGTGACAGGAAGCTACTTTGGAACATGACTTGTCAGGGAGAGAGAGGTGAACACAGGCAGCGCGGCGCTCAGAACGGATGTTGCCGCTACTGAGGTTTTTAAGCTGGTGAGGCGCCGCATTGTAAAAACAGCATGATGTGCCGTCTGCTTCAGTAAGATCCTTCATGTGGTGTGCGGGGGGGGGGGGCTTCTTTACTCCCCCTATGTTCTAATGGTACCAAATCACAGAATCTTGCTATTGCTGAAATCCAGCCTAATTTATTGGGTACAGATGAAGCAATGGAGGTATGATGGACGGACATAAGAGATCAGTCCTTATGGACAGAGACGAATTTGGTGGGGGGTGGAGCTGAAGCCATTGTTGGAGCCCCACCTACACCATAAAATGCTGGTGAAATCACCAGGAACAGGAACCAGGAACCCTTTACAACTTGGGCTAAAGCATAAGTCTGGCCTGGCTCATGGATATAAAGCAGGGCTGTTCAAATCATGGTCCTCAAAAGCTGAGACCTGCTGATTCTCCAGCCTTCCTTTACCTGTGAGCCAGGTGTGAAGCCTCTGACCAATCAGAATTGGTAATCATTAGACTAACTGCCTGGTAGAACAGAAAACAAGGCCTGGATTAGAAATCGAGGTTCAGATTTGAAGAGCCCTGATATAAACCATGCGAAAGAAACTCGATGTGAATTGTCACGCCCACTTTGGCCCTTGATCTTCCGTCAGGAGCTGGCGGACATGCGGCACGTCCATTCCAAGCTGAAGAAGCAGTACCAGGAGAAGATGGCAGAGCTGGCCCACGCCAACCGACGGGTGGAGCAGCACGAGGCCGAGGTGAAGAAGCTCCGGCTGAGGGTGGAGGAGCTGAAGAAGGAGCTGGGCCAGGCGGAGGACGAGGTTGGTCATTAGCGGGTCGTAGGTTGCTGGTGGGCACGGGTCGGTGGAGCGGTGTGGAGATGTGGGCGCACGGCCCATTGATCCCCTAATTGGCCGGCTAGTCAGCTGGAGGTGGGAGGTGGGAGGGGCTCTGACCTGCATGTGCTCGCCCCAGAATCTCACTGGAGGTTTCGCAGCTAGTGAACTGCATCTCCCACTGTCACTTTCGTGTGTGCTGGTCAGCTGGTTCTGGGAGGGTGGCACCAAAAGCTGGGAATTCAGCCTCGAGCTGCTTGCAGACCAATTCAAGGATCTCCAGAAAACAGAAAATGGATTTTTAATCAATTCTCTGTTAGTACTGCAGAATGTGCTGATTACTGATCTTATCTTGTAGACTCCCAAAGTTGACACGCTCCTTTGTCAACTTTTACTTAGGAAAATAGATGCCAGTAGCTCATGTGAAACAGATGCTTGATGGGGTAACTCTGGTTATTGCCTCTCTGTGTATCGGCGTGTCCTCTGAGTGGCTAATCCTCCCCCTGTTCTCCCCCTGCTTCAGCTGGATGAAGCTCATAACCAGACACGCAAACTGCAGAGGTCTCTGGATGAGCAGGTGGAGCAGTCGGAGAACCTGCAGGTGCAGCTGGAGCATCTGCAGTCCAGGTCAGTGCAGACATTTGGCAGGCAGCTCTCCACCCCGTGGGACTTCAGTAGAACCGCTGGTTTGTGGACCTTTAGGTTAGTGCGTGTGATTAAGCAACTGTGCCTGTAACCTATTGGCTGGTGGCTGTTGGAATGATTCCAGTGAAACAAAAAAACCCACTTTGAGCAGAGTAATAAGTAGTTAAGAGTTTACAATAAAAATAATTATACAGTATTTACAGTGACCCTACCAAAATACAGTAGTAAGGTAGGCTAAAGCTTGGATATTCTTAACAAATACACAGGTACTGTTATCATGTGTATTTGGGAAAAAATATTCCAAGTATAATTTACTGTACGTATCAAAAATTTTTACTTGACGAGATCTTATTTGCAAATCATTCTACGCAATTGTGTTATACTCGTGGCAGTTTATTAATGAACTCTGTAATCTATTAAAATGCCTTTTTATACTTTGTTTTTGAGGTATTTTCTTAATGCTACTTTCTTATTTCAAATGGGAAAGGGTATATAAAGTCTATTCTGCACCAGTCTGTTTAACCTGAAACTACCTATCAGGGTTGGGGCCATTCTGGAATGCATTGATCAATTCCAGTCCAAATCAGGAAATGGAACTGGAGCTGGGATTGGAAAAAAAAACTATGGGGAACAGAATTGGAGTTGAATTTGAATTTCAGGGAGATTTAAGTTCCAACTCCAGTTCCATTTCCTGATTTGGACTGGAATTGATCAATGCATTCCGGAATGGCCCCAACCCTGCTACCTATCGACGCTAAGTTTAGCCTATTGATAGATATATGTTTCTGAGGCTAATGGAACAAATACATATACATTACCTGGAATGTGAATCCTAAAGGTATTGAATAAAAGTTACAGTTTGATGTATCATTCTCTTGTCTTTTAATCTATTTGATTTATCACAAACACATAAAGCATACATACTTCAGATATTGTCTCTTTTATGGTCAAATGGGCAAACTGCTCATTACATTTTCAAATATAAATGTGGCTGGGAGGTAAGTTACAGTGAAACTCACTAATTAATTGCCTTTTTAAAGTGTAATAGAGTTACATGAAAATTTTTCCCAGAGCAAAGTGCGCATAATGAAAAGCCAGACAAAGGTCACGCTGATGTGTTGCTTATGTTGTGCTGGTTTTTCCCAGTTTACAACATGTTCTTCATGCAGCCAAAAAATCAGGGTTTCTGAATTGCCCAAAGTGTATGATCGTCCGTCCGTCTGCCTGTCTGTTGGGCTGGGTATGGGGGTGGTTGTTATGCATGCATTACATTGCATTACATTGTAGGGACTAAATGTCCCCACAATGTGGTGATAACCTGTTATTTTGAGGTCGTAGGGACCACAAGGGGAAACTCAATTTTATAAAAATCTGTCACTGCAGTCAAAAAACTACATATGCCAAAAGACTTGTATTTTGTTTGTTTACTTATAGTCATGGTTAGGGCTGGGTAGGGGTTAAGGTCGCCGTGGATTAGAGTTCTCCCCATAGAAATGAATGGAGAGTCCCCACAATGATATGCATACAAGCATCCCTTTGATCTATGTCCTGTTGCTACCGTTCTGGACTGAATCTGCATAACACTGGCCTGGTTGTATGGAAGATAAAAAAAGGAAAAAAAAAACCTTATGTGCAAAAAAATGTCTGGTAAGTCAATAAATGTGTGAGAGGCAAGTAAACCAAGTCTCTACTGAAAAACCCGTGCTCTTTGTAATAAAGTAATGGCTCTGGAGTAGATTTGCCTGAATGTGTTTATTAAAGACAACAATTGTAACATTAAATTTGTAATATTTCCTTCCATAATGGTGTTTTAGAGATTCAAAAATCAGAAAACTGAATGAAATGGGAAGCGTTGGGGCCAGAGCAGGTGCAGATAATCCTCTCGCAAACATTGTACACCGGTACGGTCCACCAGAAGCCAGCTTCTCAGGGGCCTCTGAAGCCAGCGTAATGTGACAGGCAAGCTGGCGTGTTTGATCTCACTGCCACAGGTCCCCCTACAGTCAGCGTTACATCGTTAGCACTGGCAGCCAATCGCAGGCTTCCGCTGCTCGCGGCTGGCCACTCAGCAGCCTGTTACCATAGCAACAGAGCGAGTTCGTCCCACCCTTAAGCAGTGGAGGATGCTGTTGTAAGCCCTCTGGAACAAGGCCACCCCTTCCAGCTTGTGAGAAATTCAGCCTTCGCTTCCCAACAAATCTATTATAATTGAGTCCCGGGATTTTGGAAATAAGGTTTTTTGGATGGCTTCTCTACAATAAAGATTAAATATTGAGTAAAACAGGGAAATTATCACCGTGGTGGAATTTAAGTAAATTTCACCATGCCGTGGTCAGAAGTTGAATCAGTCACTTAGAAGAAGCCTTTTGATTTGAATTCTTTCTTTGATGCTCTGCTGTGCTTCATGCTTCCTGCACTGCAGCTCCTTGCTGCTGTCTGTTCAGTTTTGTGCTGGGTTGCCAGTCCCATGCTGATCCCAGACCACTCTGTTTTATGCTCTGGGGGGGGGGGCAGTACACAGCCTTCCATTTTCTCCCCTCTGCTGCCTCTCCATCTGGGATGTAGCGGTCCAGGCTTGGAGATGCAGTTGTTACTGATGCTCGGGTGGCCCATTCTAAGCAGTCAGGCATGTTCTGATTGGCTGGATGAAGGATGCAGTGGCCGTCTGGGCCGTCCCCGGTTCAGATCGCAGGGCTGAGATGGACCCTGCTGGTGTTGCTGCTTCACTCTATAGCTCATTGCCTTTAATGGCTTCTCCCCAATCAAAAATCTCCTGAAGAGCCTGAGAGCTGACAGCAGACTGCAGAGCTATGGATGGAGGAGCACATGACCAGCGACCCCCCCCCAACAATGCTGCTGCCTATTCCTTTGCATTATGGAGCATAAACAGATATCCATAGGTCATCATAATGCTCTGAAAGCTGGGTGGTACAAGGCAAGGCGGATGTAAACACCATCTCTCCCCCCCCCCATGTTTAGCTGTGCCCCCTCCCATACGACTTGTCCCCCATTTCGTTGCTTTCTCCCCCCACGGCGTCGATGCCTCCCATACAGTTATCTCCCCCGTCAGCCGCTCCGGCCCTCAGCCGCTCCGGCCCTCAGCCGCCTGCCCCCCTTCATCGTGCCGGCAAGACTGGCACTCAGGCGGCGCCCGTGTGGCCGCTGGAAAATGACCCAGAGGGCTGGCGCATGGAGTACGACGTGTTCAGCGTGTGCTGGGCGTTGTTGTGGGTTTCTGGGCCATTTTGGGTCAGACTTCACAGTGCAGCGCTGTCTGCTGCAGGCTGCTCAATCAAACATTCAAAGCCTGTTTTTGCGTATCTTTATTTCCCAGAGTGTTTAAACATTTATTTCTGATTATTTTATCACTTGGTAGTTTTTTTAAATGTTAAGTACATTGCCAGCATTCAAACCCATGACTGCTTGGTTCTGTATAGTACCAGTCACAGGGACATATTTTATTCCATGGGTGGACTCTGCACCAGAAATTAAGTTTAAAATGAAATTAAATGAATTGATCCTTTGTTTTACATTTGCACAAGTATGAGTACATTGTACTCATGAAGTATGAGTACATTAGAATGCTTCTCTTCACATCCCATCTTGCTCTATTGGTCAGATGGTGTGTGTGTTCGTGCGTGTGTGTGCATGTGTGTTATGTATGTATTACATTCAGCTCCCACAAGGGGAAACTCGGTTTTAAAAATCTCTGAATGTAATCTAAAAATGTGTGTGAGAGTGTGTGTGTGTGTGTGTGAGTGTGTGTGTGTGTGAGTGAGTGTGTGTGTGTGTGTATGTGATCCACAGTTGCTTATGGGGAAGGCAGGAAGGCAGGTCCCGGGGTGGATTTGTTTGTCATTTTACTCCTTTGCAGACAGAGCTCTGCTATTACTGCATCTGAAGATTTTACTGCCCTCCTTATTGCAGGCATAAAAGAACCATGTGCTTTACAGTCTTCTCTCCAGTCCATAACAGTAAAGTTGATTTCAAAATCAATAGACAGGGACCCTGGGAGGGTTCTGTGGGATTGGAGTCCCTTTGCTTCATCGCTGTGGGCTCCTGTGCTCCTCTTCCAGACTTTCATCTGCAGGTCTCCTTCTTGTGTGTGCGCCAAAGAAACACGCGTGCGCCCACTGACATACACACACAACACGCACACACACACGCACACACACATGTAGGGTAAACATATCCTTATGGGGACCGCTCATTCATCTCAATGGGAAAAATGCTAATGCTAACTATGACAACCTTAACCCCTACCCTGCCCTAACCAAAACCATGAGTAACCAAACAAAGTACAAGAGTTTTTGCATTTTTAGTTTTTTCATAGCAGTCACCGATTTTTATAAAATAGAGCTGGATATTTATCACGTTATGGGGACATTGTGTCCCCATAAGGATAAGTATACCCGCTCGCTCGCACACACACGCACACACACACACGCACGCCAACTCGCGCCTAGTGACCACAGTGAGGTTGGCAGCTGTACCTTGAAGATTAAAGACCTCTGTCGGCCAATAATGTCACGTTAGCCTCCTTATATGCTGGGCCTTCACAGCTGTCGCTGTAAATTCCTACCCGTCGCCATCACGTCAGGCCCCTGCGAGGTGCTTTAAGTCCCTCGGGGGTGTAATATTTACAGCTCGGTTTATAGAATGTATAACAAGGACAGTAAAAACACAGCGGGCTCCATAGCATCTCTAGGGGGCTGGAGGCTCCAGACTTGTGCAAATACCTACAGGCCGTGTTTCCCTAAGAGTCAGGTATCTGCCGCAGTGAGCGCAGGAAAGTGAAATTGTGAAACTGAACCCTCGTCTGCTTTCTACAGTTTTTTCGGTTGAGTCCCCCCCCCCCCCACACACACACATAAGTGCCATTAACTCATTTCAGAGTGACTGCTAACCTGCTTAATGAGTCTGTGAGAAGTTGAACGTTAAGGTGTTTCTTACTTGGCGAGGTGCTCGGCTTTGATCGTGCCAGGCCGCATGCATGAAGTGTGCGACGGTCCGTGGTGCAGTGGGCGAGGGCTGAGGTACGTTTGACGGGAACCTGGATATCCACAGAAGGACATGTGCAGAAGATGGGGTCTTAGAGAGTTGAGGAGTGAGCTGGTGCTCACGGCCAGTAGCATAGCACCCAGTTATTCCATCTTCATTTGCTTGGACAGGTGTAAACTCCCCCCCCCCATCCCCAATTACTGGTTGAGGGGGTTTCCATCAATGATAAAGCAGTCTGCCAGCAAGGAACTGAGCGCAACCTTCCAGCTAACTGCAGAAATTCTACCCTCATATGTCTTATGCGTGTATCCCTGTAATGTTTCCCATATTCCATTATTTTATCCACATAGTTGTAATGATGTTGACGTGGTGACCATGCCTGGTGATCTGAAGTATCTTAGGAGGGTTATTGAGAAGAACCAAGACAAAAGGGGCTACAGTCGCGTGCCTGGGCACAGTTCAGCAGACGAGGTTCACCACGAGGACCTGAAGGACGTGCTTTCTGCCGCAGGTTTTGGGCCACTCGCCTTAATGTGACCCGGCTGAGCGTTTAGGTCCAATCTAAAAGCTTTTAGAGAAAGTGGGTGTCTCCAGTCAGAATGCCATTACGTGCAATTTAGTGCCATTAAAACTCTCGTCAGTTGGTCCCTGCCGGGGGTGCGGTCTGGTTCCTGTCACTACCAGGAATGGCAAGAATCTTCCAGATCCCATAGAACAGCTCTGGCAACACTCATATCATTAAGTAAAGACACTGTGTATGGAGGTGAGCTTCACAGGGGCAGAAGATTCTGCAGGTAGGCCTGGTCACTGATGGGCCACTGCCACCTAATGCTTGCAGAATGTGTTGAATTCATTATTGAAGACCCCATTAGCAAAAAAAATAAAAAGAAACAGATGGGATTTGAGGGACAGTGTAGGGCTATTTTCTAGAGCAGTGCTCCTCAATCCAGTCCTTTGGGGCACCAGACAGTTCACATTTTTGCTCCCTCCCAACTGCAGCACAGCTGGATCAGGTATTTGGTGTCCTTGATTGGCTGGGAGCTGGGCGAGAGCAAAAATATGGGCTGTCTGGGGTCTCCAAGGACTGGGCTGAGAAATGCTGCTCTGGAGGAACAGAGCTGACTCTCCTTCCTGTGGCTGTCGGTATTTACTCTTCTTTTTTTCCCTTCCTTCCTTCCTTCCCCACTAATCAGCAGTTAGCATGCATGCTCACACCTCTCAATGACCCTCCCTCCGCTTTCCCCCCTTTCAGTGAGGATTGGTATTAAACGAGAAAAGCTTCTCTTTTCTTTTTTTTTTTCTCGTAATTAATCTGCATTTATTCTGATGGCTGACAAATGTACCGAGCTGTGATTTTCGACGGCTCCTGCTGCTGGGACACACATGTCCGGCAGATTAAGTCGTCGTCACCCTACCGGAGTGAGACGACAGAACGACGGGGCCGGTGGGTTTCGCGGGTGGAGAGTTTGCTGGTTTAAGGCATTAACGGCACTCACTTCCATTTTCTGCTTATCATTTAATTACCACGCCAGCTGACAGACTGCCTGCACATACATTATCAGAAATACATCCTTTAATTCTGATATACTGATGAATATTTACCTCTGACTTAATTTCAGCGAGTCATAAATTATGGCAGCTTTTCAAGTTTAATTTCACTGGTGCTAAACTCGAGCCCATGGTAATCATCTCTGTGTTCGTAAGCATTCAAATATACAGAAAGACATCTAAAAGAGAGACTGAGAACTGCTGATTATATTACAGGTGAATGATAGATTGCACTGCTTTATAAATGTGTCTTGTTTACTTGTTCTCCGAGACAGAAAGTATCATGGACCTGCCGTGTGTCAAAAGGCCTGTCATGTATTGTGACAATACAATCTTCTCTGTCATCTAATCGTAGTTTATTGCTTTGCAGACCATTGCACTGATTTTTTTTTCTGTAAAATACTTTCTATAGCAGGCTTCTCAGCTGCGTTTCCATTACCCACGGTTTAGGTCAGCCTCTGTTGTTTATCTTCATTTAGGCTGAAGTTATAGCCCTGCATTTTTTGTGTACTATGCAGCTTGTGGATCTAACGCTCTTAAATAGTATATTGACTAATACTACTCTTGGCTGTATATATGTGCCTTTGCCCTGGGTGACTTTCGTACAGTATAAAAAACGCTCTATGAAGAACTACAGATCAAATTTTCTAAACTGATTAAACCCAAATGCATAATATTTAAAGTCATTTTAAGACAGTACTACTAGAATACAAGCAGAGGGCTACCGTCCTAAAACCCCAGGAAATGGTCGTTCTGTGCTCTGACAGTGGTTGGTGCAGTGACTCCCCCTCCAGGAGGATGAGATTAGTGGGCATCTCGCATTAGGACTGGAACAGGGTAAAGAGCAGTCAAGCACATGGCCAACCATAAAGAAACACGGGGTGCAGACAGAGTTTCAGGATGAGGATTAAGTTATGGAGCCGTTCTGTCTCCCAGGCCCCCAGCCACAGATGTCTGCTGGGATATCCTTGAGTGTGTGATATTTCTGTCTGATTCATCTGTCTCTCTCTCTCTCCTTCCTTTCCTCAGACTACGGCGCCAGCAAAACCCAGGCCTGTTTGGGAAGATGCGCTCATCTCGGTTCAGCTCGGAGAACCCAGAAGCGCCTGCTAGTGACCTTGATGACGAGGAGGAGGGCGAGCTGCAGATACAGATACCCTGAGCATCACCGTCGAGATCCTCCTCACGTCGGAGAAGCACATGGACAAACACACAGTCAGCCAGCAACCAAGACTGCAGAGAGTCTGCAAAGTGACATCCCGAACGTGTGACTCTGTGTGGATCGGAGCTGTAGGTTTGACACCACAAATATGTCTGTCTGCTTGATGTTCTAGCTCACTGCCCGAGGACACCGATGCAACGCACCCCCTCCTCATCCTCTCAGGAACGTCCCCCCCCCCCTCACTGACAAATGACCACAATCCCAAAATGTTGCTCTACTGTTGTGGAACTGAAATGTCAAGGACATTAGAAGAGGAGTGTGTTATGTATTGCTGGTATCTGCAGACAAACAGCCGAGACCTCTCTGGCGTGATCTCTATCCCTTCCTTCCAGTTTGGTTACTCAACACCAATTTAGAATAAACCATCCATAAAAGCAATAAGAACAAAGTTTACTTCCACCAGCTCCATTGAAAAACAGTGTAATTAGGACCAAGCCATTTGTGATGGTTATATTTGAGATTATTTATCTTTTTATATTGAAATGTATTACAGTGTTTTGTATTATGCTTTATACAGTACCGTTCAAAAGTCTGGACTCGCCTACTTTTCTATCTCTTAGTTATATTATTCATGGCAATGAAGTGACACATATCAAATACCGCAACCACCAAGAGAGGTATTCAACATCTCAACATTTTCTCAGATTTTAGACTCTTCAAAATAGCCTCATTTTGCTTCGGTGAGATGACAGCATTGCAGACTCTTGGCATTCTTTCAACCAAAATCCAGATGTGGCCACCTGGAATGCTTCTCCAGCAGTCATGAAAGAGTTTCCACAAGTTCCAGGCACAAGTTGGCTACCTCACTCTTACTCTTCGATCCAACTCATCCCAAGCCGGCTCAGTAGGGTGTAGGTCGGGGGATTGTGGGGACCAGGTCATCAGTGACAGCACTCCATCTCTTTTCTTGTTCATAAGATAAACCAATACTTACAAAACCTCAAGGTGTGTTTAGGGTTGTTATCTAATCAAAAAACAAATGATTTTCAGTAGGCATGTCCAGACTTTTGACCGGTAGCGTAGCTGTTGTATGTTACTAGCTGCATGTCTGTGCTGAGCCATGCCTCCGTGTTTCCCAGAGTCTATCTTATTCCTATTTCTGTGTTTACAGAGAGGTCATGTATCTTTGAATTCCGTCATCAGAATTTAGGTACATTTAAATATGTTTTTCTTTTCTGAATTACGATTCTGGAACATTCACTTGTGTGCGCGCGCGCACATGCCCTGTTCGGTGGTCATGGGTCACTGCTAGCCTATGGGAGCCATTACCATGCGATCACCATAAAAACCAAGGAGAAGCAACCTTCAGAAAGTAAATGCTTGGTGTTTATGGAGGTGCTGGTCATAGTAGTTGCTTTTTATATGCTTTTAGTTATGAAAAAATACAACGGTGTTATTTATGGGGAAATATTCAAAATTTAAAAAAAAAAAGTCTCAGCTGATACTGAATGTTGTATCTGAGCATCCTGGTGATGCCAACCATTGTGGATAACGTGTTCTTTACCGGTCGGTGTGAAAAACCTTTCTGTAGTAGTGGTCATCAGCAGCAGATCTTTCTCACGGAGTCCCATCAGTCTCACCTACCGGAAGCTGGCAAGCTTGTAGAGTTGTTGCTCCTGCCTTAATATTTTGATACATTTTGCATAGGAAAACAGTCTTACTAAGCTTTTCCAGCCCTTCAAAACACTTGAAGTCTTGGGGGGGGGGTTTAAACTTTGGAGCTCGCCACAGAGTGAAAGATCTTTTCAGATCTGTAATGAAGGAATCGGAAAAACAAAACATTTCTATCATAAGTGCTATGAAGCTGGTTCTTTCTTGAGGTATTACTGTCTTTGCGCCTTTGGTCTTTGAGAACAGGCCACAGAGACAGAAATGAAGGGGACAACCACCCTCCCTTTGCTGTGCGAAGTGCATTCTTCTGTCTGTTGTCTTTATTTATGTGCCAATGTTAGCTTTTGTTTCCTCCGATATGTCGGTGGACGTCATTTCCCAGAATCCGTCTTTCCATATATATCTTACCCACTACTACAAAATAAAGAAAACCACTTACCACTGTATCCGATCAGCTCGCGTATCGCAAATGTATGTTTTTAGAGTTTCATTCCAGTTAACGGAGTAATATTCTTGGAATGTAACTGTGATGTTGTAATGATGTCTTGGTGTAATGAGTCGGCCCAAGTGGAATTTTGTGTGTTCTGCACCAGTGTTTCTCCTCCCGGTCCCCAGAGACCCCCAGACGGCCTCTGTTTTTGTTTCCTCCCCCTTCCCAACACACCAGGTGTAGCAGGTATTTGGTGTTGATTCGTTGGGAGCTGGGAGAGAGAAAACATACAGCCAGTCTGAGGGTCCCCAAGGACTAGGCTGTAAGACATTGCTCTACACTGCATTACACTATGTGCATATTGTGTAGTGTTTCACCCAAAAGTGACACCTTTGATTCTTGTCAACTAAGTGGTTACCTCCCAAAATGCACCAGTTTTAACCAAAAAAGGTTCTAATTTGTGAGGTGAATATAGTTCTAAGGTCAGCCATGTGATGGATGTAAGACTGGAGTCGGGTAAGGTGCTGTTAATGGTGCAGAATGTGGAAATCTGTGTCAGCTCCGCCTGTCTCCCTTTCATGGCACTTTCTGTCCTTGTTCTTAGATGTCCATTATAACCTTTATGATACACCTGAAATAGAAGGTTCTTCATATAAGAAATTAGTTTTAGGCTGGTGTTAAAGTGAGAAATACGTGTTCTGTTTGAGTGTTCCTATCGGATTTTATGGAGGAATATTTTTAAACTGTGTGATTTAGTTTTATGTGATGTGTTTACTTCTCTAAATACTTGTGCTGTCGAACTGAATACCGTTGTCAGCAAAACTCCCCCAGTCTTGACTGTCCCAGGTCCAGTAATGAAAACCATGCACATGCATGTTGAAGAGACTACAGCGTTGTGCTTTCTTTTGTATTAAATTTTCTAACAAATGTATAGTTGTTTGTTGTTGGTGGTCCACCTATTCCTCCTTAAGTAGTTATGCTACTGAATTCTTGGGGGTGGGGGGCTTTTGACAAGGGAGATCTCTCTCTGTCCAGTTAGTGTGACCATTGCTGATGCTGAAGTTTACTGTGGCAATATAAATGTTGGAAATGACTCTCTGATGCATCTTAACTAATGTAGCGCACCCATGGCTAATGTAGTGTGTTCCAATACCCCACTAGAGGGCATGAGCTAGGATGGCCCAGAACACAGACCCTGAAAATTTCATCCCAGAACAGCTCCCAGCGAGTCAACCGCAGCTGTGCACAGGCTATGCGCTAACACACAAACGCAAACCCTGAAGAACTGTCCATTGCCACCCTTCATCAGATTTACAGTCCGTGCTTAACATGCATTATCGGCTGTCCTGCGCTGCAGTGTATTACAGACCTTGCAGCACTTAAGTGCATCTTAGAACTCTATTCAAGGTGCTTTCCTCTCCCTGTCCATCTGCACAGTCATCCACCTGCATTTTCTTCCCGTCCATCAAACTAAAGTCATTATTGTGAACTTCTCTCTGTCCAAGATTGCAACAATCTGAGCAGTCAAAACCTGTTAAGAAGATGATGGATGGGTAAATAATGACAAAATGGAACAAAAATGAATAAATGAATGGGAGAAATAATTGCTTGAATAATTCTGTCCATCTAATATGTCTGTAACCCGCTGTCTTAATCTGATTTGAAGGCTTCCTTAACTGTCTTTTCAAAGGCAGCGCCAGGCTGAACGGAGAGGCTTCATTCCAGCCTGTGCTAAGTGCTGTAGACAAGCAACATAAGTGACCTGGTTACCTGAACGGAGGTAGGAAATAATGAGGTTGCAGCTCCCAGAGGTGGTGGTGGTGGTGGGGGGGGGGGGGTTATCACCAACTCAATGCCCGGCCCGTTCATGGATCTTCTGGTCAACATCACTTACCAGGGAAACTGGGCTATTTCTCTGGAAGGGGTTTAACCATAAGTACTTTGAAACAGTGTTGACTTTTAAAAGTAGCCAGAGTGCATGTTAGAACATTAAACTGGGTACAGAATAAGGAAAATACCCTGAAGTAAAGGGGGACCTATGCTGTGCTTCGTAGTTAGCAGCATCGTTTCAGGCTGGTGAATAATTTTTCAAAGTCCTACTTTTTCTGGATTTTATAATAGCTTTTCTCAGAAAAGTGTGGCCAGAGTTTGCAGTCGTGCAGCACCAAGGGCTTTGCCATTCAGGGTTAGTCCCGTCGTTGACTTTCTACACCAGGAATCCTCTCGTTTTGTCAGCCATAAGCAGACTTGCTCAAGGACTATGTTACACCTTTGGAAAGAGAGAAGTTGTGCAATTTAGACCAAGATCACACCTGCATGGTAGCATGTGTTCATCATCACAGGGGAGCCAGCCTAAGTGTTTCATGCCTAAATGTTTGCATAGATAATGTGATCTTGGACTGATGTTGAGTGTTGTACTGAATATGGGACATAAGAAACCCCACTGCTCGATTACGGCATAAATCATCTTCGTGATCATTTGCGATCACGATTATTTAACATGATTACTCATTGACTTTGGAAATATCATGCATTGGTTGAACTCTTACAAAGACTTATCTTTTTAATAGTAGATTTCCCTGAAGCGTAATTCGACTGAGAAACAAATAAAAAATGTGGTACAATTTCCGTTTTATCGCAAATGTTTTGTTCTGAATATTATCAGAAGCCAGTATCGTAGTTGTAATTAAAATTCGATGAATTGCCCAGCCTTAGCCCACACCGTGTGCCATTGTCTCAGGCATGTAAGCCTGGCATGTGCTCGTCCGTCTCTAGTTTTTTTTTTTTTTTGAGTGTGGCCAGGGTTTCTCTGTGCGAGTGACACCCCGGGACATAATGTGTCCCCGCATGTCAGCATCGTGCCAAATCCCCGCCACTCCCTGTTCCATCCCCCCGCTTGTTCCAGATGTTGCACATTACCATTAGTAGCAGTGAGCATGTTCCTTCCCGCTAAATACACTGTAAGTTCACACTGCACACTCTTACAGCAATGACAGCAAATGAGGGGGGTGAGTGGTCCCTCACTGATGGAGCAACAAACTGCATGCACCCCCCTGTACACTGGAACTTTGAGCTCTGGTGCTGCTCTTCACTCCCAAGCCCCCTCTCCCATCCCAGTTCCTGACATTCATACGATATAATGTGGCAAGATCTGGGCCCAGCTGAAAGCTGATTGGCCCCCGGAGTGACCCCTCCCCTGTCACTTACCGATTCAAAACATACCATTGGCTAATGATTAGGTTGGCTCCTCTGTATGAATAATGCAGCATCTAACGCCCCCACCTTAAGAAGAAAATCTTCTTAAGGTAGATAAGATCTACTGGATAAGATCTTCATTGAATTTATTTAATATTCCTTGGGGCGGGGGGGACTTGTGTCCAACAGCATTACAAAAATAAATCCCAGTACAATAGTCCTTAAATCAATGAATTAATTAAGAAAGTGTGTAGTGGAGTGTAGGTGGTACGAGTCTGATAGAAGAACCTGCTTTAATGGGAAGATCCTTTTCTCAGTGCTTTGCATTGAAGGAGCAGTTACATGTACTATAGTCAATCAGGATTGTTCTGCTGTCAGCAAAATGAATGCTCTTCATTGATTAAGCAATCACTATAGCAATACACTAAGCTCTTCTGTAATGCTCAGTGAGTAATACGGGACAAGCTTGCATTTATGGCTAGACCTGCTCTTCAGCATGTGTATTTGGTGGATAAGCTGCCCGTAGGAATATACTGCTGCACACACCAAACCCAGGTAACTGAGATACCTTAGAAATGACCTCCCCCGCAGCGCTGACAGTGGAGCAGCACATAAAGAGCATGTAAGGTCCTCCCTGAAATCAAGAATAGTTTTTCAGCTCTGAAAGGTGCGAATGCAACCCAGGCTTTTAGATTGAAACCAAGAGAGCGGATTCAATTTAGCGGTACAGGGTTAAGAGAGAGGCTGGTCAGAGGAAGGCTGCGGTTATGATGGGCCCCCCTGCTAGAAGTCGAGTTCAAACTGTTCTAAGCTGGAGTGTGATAAATCAACCCCCCACCCCCAAATAGGTCAAGGCTTTCTCTGCCGGGGAAGTTGTTATCCGGACCAGGTTGGCTTTAGAGGCAGGGAAGTACAGAGCACATAATTGTTTTTATCAAGAGGATTTATCGCGGAATCGCTGCAGCGTTTATAAGAGTTTGATCTAGTAAAGTGAAAAATAATTTTAAAAAACGACCTTATCTGTGTAACCAGAAAGGTTTAATATCATTGAAATAAAACTACTGATAGTCTTTAAAGAGCCCCTCTATAGAGACCCCTGTTTAATTCAAGCCCTCATCAGTTAGCCAGCCTGTTTGATGTGCACATAATAAATGTAAGTAACTTTAAATAAAACTCCTACTATGAGATTTACACATCCATAGTAGAGGTAATACTCTCTTCTGAACCGTCATTCCACCCTGAGGCACTTCAATCCTGTTCTTGTGTTTTTAATAATGTTGATTTTCATATGTGTGTGTAAAAGAAAATGACGTCGTATATGTAGCTATTTGGTGTAAGATGAGAAATGTGACTGCTGTCATTGTTTGTGTTTATGACTGTTTTGTGCACTTTGGGGGAGTGGGGGGGCTTTAACCTGTGTGGGCCCTGGAGCTACTTCCTGTTGTCTATGCCACCTTACCCGGCTTTCAACTCTTTATCCAGAACTGTTGGAAATGGCAGGGGCACCTCCTGGTCGTCCGTCTGTCCATCCATCCTCACTTTTCCTTTGCAGGGTCAAGGGCATCCAGATCCCAGGACAAGCCGGGACGGGTACCAGCCCATCACAGGGCACACACATTTACATCTACAAACACATACAGTTTGGTGACTCCAATTTACCAAATCATGGTGAATGCTGGTCCTCGAGGTGTGAAGATACCACAGTATCGCTCACCATCCTACTTATTTCTATTGGAAACTCAGCAAGAAAGCGGGTGCGTGTTAATTTTAGGGGTCAGTCAGGGGCGTTGCTAGGATCTTGTGACATTATAGTGGCTTATCTCAGAGAGACATAACCTGTCGGAGGGGTTTCAGACAGAGCATGGAAGTTAAAACATCTGACGACACAAGGGCTTGTTTGGATTCATTTGGGACGTCACTGCTGAAAGCTCAAGGCTCATGATGCATCTTCGATCAATGACCTGATACTGTATATTACTAGTGTGAGACACGTGAGACAGTCTTAGAGACGAAGCTGCTCTGATGACAGTCTTGCGGGCTGCAGTTGCACCAGGAATTTGTCCCATGCTCTTGGAGAGTACTTCACCGAGGATTTGCGCGCGTGCTTTTATATCCTCTGGGTTCAACGATCGGAAATATAGGATTGGTGAGGCATTTTGAGCGTATCAGCGATTCTCTGGGGCTGTTTGTGACATCCTTATCTGCTAGAGTGTGATGTAGCACCTCTACTGATACAGCTGCTCGCACACACTCATACATACAAAACTGATGACACAAGCTCAGCCTCAGCCAATGGCAGGCATTAGAAAATGTGGGCATGCACTTGCAAAAGCCTAGAGTGACATGGTGCCCAAGAGATTCTATCACGTAGTCATAATTCTCCCATGTCTTTTACTGACTCTGCCAGGCGAAAGTGCAAAGAAATGCAAACTACGAATAATGTCAACAGAGATGCAGTTGGAAGAGGAGAGATGAGAGTTAGATTAAAAAACAAAACACCCAGGAGACAGGGAATTTAAAATCCATTCTTCACTCTTAGCACGAACACTTATAAACACATTATGTGAGTCTTTTGAATTCACAAAAAGTGCTGTTTCTGTGCAATGAGAGACTAGGGTCATTAAGATATGTAGTGTGACTTTTTTCCCGAAATGTGGGTGAGGACAGATCTGTTTGTGTCCTTTTTAATGGGTCCTGTTCACACACATTTGCTTCATTATGAACCACTTGCCTTCCTGTCTTTTTCACTCTTTATTCTGAAGCCTTTTTACTGCCTGTTCTCTTCTTTTCATCCTGCACTCCGTCATTCGCACCCCCTCTACCCCTCGTTCTCATTCAGAGAGGAGGTATTTGAGTCTGTGGTGAAACTCTCGCAGTATTCCCCTTCTCTATTCAGAAAGAAATGTAAGAAATTACATGGTGCTGAACGTGTGCGTTTGCAGTCTTGTTAAAGTTCTCAGCTGACACCTCGGATGGGAGGTGAACGCTTCTTCACAGGGTTGCCGTTGGCCTGGATTCTGTGCTCAGGATCATTGCCTGAAGCTACTTTCACAGGAACAGCAGGAAGAGCAAGAACGGGGATCCGTACAAAGTGATACGCAGGGAAAAGCGAATAAGTCATCTGCCTGTGTGTTATGAATTAGGCTAATGCTGCAGCTTTGGATGCTCACAAATACACAAGCACACATAGACAGTACAGCCGTGGAAAAAATTGAGAGACCATTTTATATTTTTAAACAAACATGCATTTTTTAATCCTGGTTTGATCACCGTTCTGCTGGCAGAGGCTACAGAGGCTGAGCAGCTGGTTGCTTCCAGATTCCAAATTTTTAAGACAACAATACAACAGTAAGGAGACACTGGGAACGACCAGAAACCAGCCAGGTAAAGGGCAGAGTGACTCACTAATACCAGAGATGACTGTTAACTTATCCAACAGTTCCTCATGAATCGTAGGATGACATCACGTGACCTTCGCAAGGAATGGGAAACATTAAGTGCAGGTGTGAAGTGCACTGCTAGGACAGGTCTTATCAGGCTCCTAGAAGCAGGTGTGAAGTCCCATAAAGCAAGGAAGAAGCCCTTGAGCAATGAGAAAATGAGAAGAGACAGGTTGACAC